TATATCGTAGTGCTCCACTTCTCATTGGTTGATTTTGTTCTATGTTACATAATATGTACGTATACGATTGACGGCCAATAAGAAGTGGAGATCTAGGCGAAGTAAAGAGAGGAGGATAGGTATCAAAATACTGTGATGATACCTATCTAAGTTGTCATGGTATGTACACATTTTTAACCGGCCAGAAAAGAAAAAATACACTGCCCAATTATTTCCCTCGTTACTTATTGAATAAGTAATACATTTGTAAGAATTAAAAAAAATTATGTAGGCATAATAAGTGTATAACACGTCCAATAATAAATCTTGGCAAGGCCGTAACTGGTGGTTGATGGGTACAGGGGTCATGACACCACGACATATTTAAATGTAGAACAAGTTTTTATATTTTGAAAGTAAAAATAATAAGTGTCCAGGATACATAATATTAAAAAAAATGTTAGACCACCCCGAAATTGTTTTTCAGTTACGATCTTGGCAGTCGGCAACCGTTCAGATTAAAAAAAAAAACTGTGGTCCAAAAACTATATTGTATTATGCTACATAAAATATCATAATCCAACGGAGGAAAAGGCGATGCAACTGTTTAAGATGTACTTTATATGAAATCATTAGTAAAATGTTATAAACTTACAAACCTAACTATGATTTTTATGTTCACATCCGGTTTGACCGTTCGACGGAGTATTATTGTTATAGTATATTATATTATTCTTATTCTTACCTACCTACATCAATCATTCGTCTTATTACATTAATTCGCTAGAGTGTTTTTTTTCTCTGTAATTTAACGCACCGTTGAAGAGTGAATCTATAATTGTATTATTTAACGCTACATAATAATAGCAATAAAAGTATAATAACGATACATTATTCGTTGTGTTTTATAAAAACTATGAAATATTATATTTTACACATTACGTAGGTACACGTCCAAAAAAAAAAATCGTCGTATAATGTTTTAATCAGTATAAAAAGTCAGTGCATAATATACGTATAGAGTATATATATTTTTTACGAACGCGTAATATTAAAAATTCAAAAGTTTTATTGGCTTGTTGTATAATGTGAAACATTGTAATTTTATGTTGTATAAATTGTGCACTTGCACGATTTTAATCAGTGGCTATAGTTTGTAGCTACGTATGCATATTGTACATACAACATGAGCAAGCCAACATTTTTGAGAAGCTAACATTTTTTTACAATACATAATATACATTATTATAATAATATAATATAATTATTATCTATACTATTAAAATATATGTATATTGTAAATACATCTATAATAGTATATACATATGTACCTATATTGTATATAGATACATCTATAATAGACAAATGGCGTAGCCTGCAGCCCCCCTCGAAATGTTAAGAAAATTAAAAAATTATTTTTATGGTCTATGATAGTCGCTCAAAAAGTTCGATAAAAGTTGATCCCCCCCCCCCGAAAAAAAATTCTGGCTACGCCACTGTCATAGACAATAGTGTGTATTGTATATACGTTATTATCATCATTATATATTATAAAGTTATATATTACACCTAAATTACAGTATATTCGTTTTATGAATGATCTAAAGTTTTTTTTTATATATTTTAATAACTCATTTTATGTGAATGCGTATACGTAAACATGACACGGGCTAAAGTTTAAGCATTTTATAATAACCTTGTAAAAAAAAAAATACGAGTTTTATGAATAAAAAGGTGGGCAAGTGGGTGTCGCTCTGCTGTACAGTAGGTTACAAGTGGGTCACTGTATAATGGATGATATTAAATTTGAATTCAACGATATAATATCATTGTATAAGAAAAACGATTCTGAGCGGAGACGGTATGTCAGTCTATGTTTAAGACATATTATATACATATCTATGGTATTAAACAAAAAATTGACCTATAATAGGTACCTATAATAAATTCCAAATTAATCATATCACAATGTCCATTAGGTACTTATAACGCGTTATACATCAACAAAACCGTGATACTATCATAGATATATAATAGTACACTTTAGAAGTTTCAAGTACCCACGAATAATATTATTCAATCACAACAAAATAACTAAAATATTTATTCTAGGTTTTTAAATATGTAATTTCGTCCAAATTTGAATTTAAAATGTCTGTAAAAAATAACTGTGTTCATATATTTTTTAGATTTTTTGGTTACAGTATGAACTATTTATGAGAACCTTTGTTTTAAATTTGCAATCCTTAGCTATAAAAACTGAACATTTTATAATTTATTAATTTCAATGATTGATAATTTTCGAGATTTTGATAAATTTTGTCAAAATTTGATCTTTAAATGCTTATAAAAAAAAACTGTGCCTATGTATTTTTAATATTTTTCAACTGCTATTGTAACAGTATATCAGGAGCCTTGTATTAAATTTTTACACTTTTTGGCCCAACAGATAAAACTTTATTGATATTTATAGAAAAAAAAACTAAAAAAAATTGAAAGCTGTAAATGTCCATAAACAGCTCAAAAAGAGTCAAAATATTTTCAAAATTGTATGGTGTATAGAAAATGCTAATTTAAACATTCAGTGAAATTTTCATGTATCTACAGTTATTTGTTTTTGAATTACAACAAACTAAGGAAATCGCTACATGGGAAATCGAGTGAATATTCAATGTTGTAAAAATTTGAATTACAAACGCTCATAAAAATTTAATTTGACTTTCTTATAGACATTTTTTTTTGATAAAGGTAGATAATCTTATAAGGAATCTTGTGTTAAATTTTCAAATCTTAGATTTAAAAAGAAAAATTTTTACGAATTCTTAACTCAAAATAATTTGCTAATTTTCGTGATTTTTCCATATTTTGTCAATTTTTGAACTTTAAGTGCTTATAAAAAAAAATTGTGACTAAGGATTTTTAATATTTTTCATCTGCCTTTGAAACAACATATTAGGAGCCTTCTATTAAATTTTCAAGCTTTCGCAACCAACAAATAAAATTTTATTGATATTTCTAGAAAAAAAACTAAAAAAAAATGAAAAATGAAAATGTCCCTAAACAGTTCAAAATAAATCAAAATATTTTGAAAATGTTATCGTGTATAGAAAATGCAAATATAAACAACCAGTGAAAATTTCATGTATCTACGGTCATTTGTTTTAAAGCTACACCAATAACCAAATTCGATTTTTTGGAAAATCGATTTTGCGTAAAAATTCCCGTTTTTCCTTAATTTTTATGTTGTTTTTCCCGGCGCTTGTGAAAACTACTGGAAAATGTTTATCTTTGACCCCCCAAAGTACCAACTAGATTCACTTTCCTATCAGAAAAGGTACTATTAAAGAAAATCGAAGCACTTTTACTGTCCCAAAACGTGATGACAGACACAAAAATATAAATAAAAATATAAATAAAAATATAAATAAAAATATAAATAAAAATATAAAAATATAAAAACATACATCATTGTAAAACCAATACATTCATCGCTCCGCTCAGAATCTAAAAAAAATAAAAAAAAAAATAAAAAAAAAAACACACATCATTGTAAAATCAATACATTCATCGTTTCACTCAGAATCTAAAAATGTTTTCGAAAATTCATTGTTAAAAAGCTGTAATGTATATTAAACATTAAATATTGATAATTTTTTTTTAACAAAGAATGCACTTCATTTATTTATTTCACTATATTCATATTTTAGTGGTAGCCTACATTTAGGAAAAATAGTTAGGTACCTACTCCACACGCAACCAAAACCATTAAACTATTATAATTTATAACACTGAACAAAACAATTTAAAAGTAATTTGTAGCATGACACTTTTGATTTCCGTATAATTAAGTTGAACGATGCGTAAAATTACTGTGTTCCTATTATGTATATCATAAATAATACAGCTAGTGTCCAAAATATTTTATTACCTAATTTTACTAAAGTATTTTACCTAAACAGATGTATCGCCAAAGGACACTCTTTAAGTATGGTAAAAAAATCTTAAGAATTCAAAAATATGGTCTTTATTAGTACTGTGTTTACAAACTTCAAAATTCAGAAATTAAATAAATTCACTCTGTATATTATAAGTACTGTTATTTTAAATCTCTTCCAGTAAGATTTATAAATATTATACAATTTAATTTTTAATTATTATTATTATATAAAAGAAACGAAGGTCTTAACTTGTTAACTTAACCAATCAGTTAATTGACTATTATGAATTAACCTAATAGTATCATTACCTAATTGAAGAATCAATGTTATAACGACTAAGCTTTTTCCAATTAATTATATTTATTAATAATAATAATGCATATTTTTTTTGTTTTAAAAGCTTAAGTTATAATATATACTACCTATATAGTATTAATAAATGCCAACAGGCAACATTGCACAGAACATCATACGCAAACATTTAATTCTTAGCCCCCTTAGGGCAATTTTGATAGTCCATTGTTTGTTAAAAACGTAGGCAATCGTATACCCAAAAAATTTTAATGTAGGTACGTTACGCAATCGGACTTCACCGATAATCAAGTACCTACGATATACAGTACTAACCAAGGTTACCAACCATAATTTTAATAATAATAGGTGTTGATATTTAATATTTTAACAAATGTTCATATTTGTATTAGATTCTGATCAAAATAATTTTTTTTAAATAAATTGGTGTTTTTTAGTGAAACATCAATATATTATGATAAAATATAACGATGTTGTTTTTTTTGTAAAAATGTATTCGTAGGACATAAAAATCAGTATTTTTGCCTTTGGATAGGTAGATCTTTTTTTTAAAAATTGGGCAACACACAGTAGGTACTTATATACCCCCATATACCTGCTGCTATATTATCTTATGCAGTTATGCCATACTTACATAGCGGTAATAGGGCGGGAATTTGAAGGATTTTTGCACTTTGCAGTATGTACTTAGCTTATTATATTTAGTTATTAAAATTATTAAGTAAGCATTCGCGTTTCTATAGTGTTTTTTTTCGTTTTGCAGCGATAAAAATGTCTGAGCAGTCGGAAGGGGTGAACAACAACAAATGGCTGTTGGGCCAGGGCCAGAATTACACGCAGCTCCACCACCAGCTTCAGCAACAGTGCGGTGGTGGCAGTGGCGGCGGCGGCGGTGGTGGCGGTGGAGGAAACGGATCTCCGGGAAACAATTCGCCTGCTCACAAGATGAACGGCGGCGGTGGCGGCACACACAATCACAATCACCACCATCACCACCACTCGCCGACGTCGCATCACCAACAGTTCGCTCACCACCCGTTCAGCCTGTTGGGCGCCGCCGGACCGGCCGGCTATCTGCTCGGTTCCGACTCGCTGAAGGTCACCGGTGGCGGTGCGGGCGGCGGACCAGCCGGGTCCAACCACGTCTTGTTCTGAACTACGCCGCATTGAACCGCGGGCAAACTTGGTTACTATACAGTAATAATATTAGGTATAATATTATTTAATCATAACAATAAAGGGGGGTTCACACTACACCGTGTCGTGTAAAATAATCACGGTTACCACAGTTACCAAACGATACCGCATAGTTGAATATATTCAACTTTTGACCGTGTGGTTACATTTATGTGCAGATAAAGCCGGGTTCATACTTAATGTAACCACACGGTCAAAAGTTGAATATATTCAACTATGCGGTATCGTTTGGTAACTGTGGTAACCGTGATTATTTTACACGACACGGTGTAGTGTGAACCCCCCTTTAAAGAAATATTCACAACAATGGTAGGTACCTACTGGAACTTCGAAGAGTTGTTACCTACATACACTTTATGCTGCATTAACAATCGCATTTCATCATTTTGTACATAATATTAATAATTAATATAATATTATTATACAAAAATCATTTATATTATATTGTATACAGTGTTGTTAATAGATAATATAAGCAAAGATTGTCTTACGCGTTGTGAGAATAAACCATAAAGTTTGTATTGTATACTTTACTTTTATTTTGATCTTTTAATTTATATTTTGTTTTCTTCTCGTGAAATATAATAATGTTTCAAGTAGGTATTAATGGTATAATATGAGATTCGGTAGGTGTAGGTATATACCTACATAATAATAATAATAATAATAATATAATATCACGAAATGGTATGATATCGAAGAGTGCGTCATAAGTCGTATGGTGTTATATACAGTTATAACTTAAAAGTTTATAATTATATATCATCGTATCCGTTGCCCTGGGGGATGGCTGTGTTGTCCGGGAGTGGTTCTATGAGGGGGTGTCTTGTAGTAGCCCCCACACATTTCAGCTTTCTAGATCCACGTCAGGTGATGCCGTGGGGGATGACTGTGTGGTCCGGGAGTAGATCTATGAGGGAGTGTCTTGTAGCCCCCCCACACATTTCAGCTTTCTAGATCCACGCTCGGTGTTACCGAAGAGAGGTGATCGTTGGTTTTGTCCGAAATCGCGAGCACAATAATATCGAAAAATAATAACACCCTCTATAATATTATATTCCTATTATATAAAATATTTTGCGATCGCGTATTTTCACCACGTGCTTATATTTATTTATAATTTATTTGTAGCCCGCGACTGTTTTCGGTCGGTATTGTGCGACAACCATTTATACTATGTGCCTGTCTATATATTATATTATAGATATAAGGTATAATGTATATAATATATTATATAGACACGGGGCGGGTACGTTGAGGCCAACCCCAAAAAGTATATAATATAAACACGCCCCTCGAATTTCCCCATTCTATATAAGTATAGGAGAAAACGACTAACATCAGAGTGCACTTTGATGGTCGATAATGCTCCGGCCGAGTATAGTGTATCGTTTTGTGGGGTTAATCGTTCGAGTGTATAAACAATAAACATATTATGTAACCGATTCGGTAACCGCTCGGCCGCCCTCTGCAGTGTCGTATAAAAGCGAAGGAGAAAAGGTCAAGGAAAAGGGCAGTTGCCCGCAAGTACCAAATTTTTTGGAGACACCGACATATTTAATGTGTGTGTGTGTGTGTGTGTGTGTGTGTGTGTGTGTGTTTGAGTGCATTTTTTAGCAATACTTCTTTCAACAATAATTATAAGAAAACCGGATTCCAAGAAAAAAAAATTTTAATTTAAAGTTTTTACTTGATTCGTTTGGTAAGTGAGTATGAGTAGACGCATGATAAGGAATGGCGAACACCATCAAATTTCCACGTGGGTGTCAAATTAGTTATAAGTGGTAATTTCGAAATCACCTGTTTGAGGATACCCAAGGCCTAATAATAAAATATTTTATGGTGAGATAGAATTTATAGTTATTTTAACTAACCGTATGGGTTTTAGTCCAACCGGCGAACGACCATCAATAAAAATCCGTAATTTGCGAATCGAATTCTTAGAAAAAGCTCCAGTAAACTGCATATATTATACACCTATAGAAAGCGTTGGGTTCTCTTGTCCGATCGAGCAATGTACTTAAAGTAACTGTTAGGCTTACATAGTTTTTTTTTTATTGATATTTAGAAAACAAATGTTGTTAATTTTAAAAACTCTACAGTCTACACTATAACAGTAAAAGCCTTAAAATGTTTTTAAATGGTTATATAATTATTATTATTAAATTATTTTTTTACTTTGTTAAATTGTATTATATAAGTCGGTGTCTCTTTAGAAGTTGGTCATGACATTGCTGGTGTTGTCTGTGTTTGGACCTAATGTTGCGTTTGTGTTGGAAGGCGTATCGTGTTTTCTGAGGTCGATGATATTATATTATATATTGGTGGCATTCTGTTGATATATTATGTTAACTGTTAGGTTAACACCATGGTAGTCCGGTGTTGTACTCGTACCTCCTTGGCCATTGGGAACTTGTGTGTTATATACTTGTACGACCCATCCGGACATACACACCTACGACCTACGGTTTTAATGTTTTCTGTTTGAACTGTCACATACATACAGGGGAGATTAATATTATTCAAGATCGAAGAAAAAACGTGATCGCAGACGTAAAACCATCTTAAATCACCGCTGATGCGTTTAACCACAGTAGTAGTGTTTGCCAAGACGAGAGTGCATGTAGGTAATGATCGTTGGATATTTTTGGAATTCTTCTTTTTCTTATTTTTTACTCATCTTTTTATTAATACCCAATATCATACGGGTACGACGAACCGTGTCGTCATATTATTTTTATTATTATTTTTACGATGCGATAGGATTAGGAAACGTCTAAAAATACGTACAAAACACCCGCGGTATATACTACGCGATAAAGGTGTCCGCACAAATCTTTTTTCACGGTATAGCCGTTGCAGTCGTGGGCGACTAACTTTCATATTATAATCATCAACGATAGTGTCGATAGGATTTTTCAGACCTAGATCTTTTTTTTTGAGGTAGGTACTGCGGTGATGTTGGACGTTATATGTATGCTTTTTCCAGGCCCGTGTTAAGGCATAAACAGCATGATATTATTATAGGCTACAGCTTATGGCATAGCGATTGATCGAGGATTTCCCACAAAATGCAAACTGTAAAAAAAAAGTGTTTACAAAATTGTATGATACTATTGTAGGTTATAGTTAGATTGTAAATATCTAAGATCGTGAATTGTCGTCGTTCTGTCGTTTAATTTAAATTGCTTACATCAGTCGGATCGTCAGGCCATACAGTGCGGGACGCGGGTTTTACATAATTATACACGTAGGTAAATTATTAAAATAAATCCCATGTAATTTTATTTTATTATTGTCTTAATAAATATGTCCACATAATGTGGGCACAATAGAAATGTACATATAGTTAAAAAATATTATTTTATTATTTTAACAAGTTGAAGAATTACACTATGGGTTTATGTTTATGTATATTAATTGAAAAATGTAAAATTCTTGAACAAAAAAATGTAAGAATACAATTAATGAAATGTTAAAAAAATATTTTTACAGAGTTCTACAATAAAATATGGGAACATCAAATTGTTCACATCTTACGGCCACCTTATAGGTCTTTCCGGGCATGAGCTCTTCGTATTATATGGACCATATTCGTATATATTATTTCGACCATATTATATCGTATTATATAGCGTCACATTACCGCAGTCCGCAGACATAGGCTTATTATATTATTATATATTACACATACTACAATACTAGGTAGTTAGGTAGGTAACTGTTCAGAGGGGCAAAATCGGAGTGGACCATACAATCGACTGGAAAACGTAAATAGTTAGGAAAATATTACATAATATAATATTACACGTTTACAACCTCGGACCTCCACCCATAATATTCTGAAAAGTTAAGTACCGATCCAAAAATATTATTTCATACAATATTATTGGAATATATTATGGGACAGTTTACTGATTATTAGTAATTACTCAAAGCACATAAAAATGTCTAACCAATTTTGTCGTATCCTCCTCGTCAATACAACCGACCATCATAATATTATAACATTTTTAATAATTGTTTGTGTTTTTTTTTTAGTTTATGGTTTTTTTTCTTTCTCATTGTTTTTCGTAGGTAAAATTATTAATAATATAACGATATTTATTATATCGAACTTATAGTACCTAATATATTATTATTATGATTATTATTATTATTATTGTAATTTCTATTCGTCCGAAAAATAGAAAATAGTTTTAAGGAATAAATGTATAATAATATATAAATATGTTTAATATGTGTACGAGTATATAGATAATAATATTATAAAGTATATTATTATGTTAATTACATTTTTTATGTTGTGTTTACTTTTGCAGTATTATTGTAAATATACTAAATATAAATAAAAGATAATATTATGTAATATGTATTGATGATAAATTTGTGAACCGAATAACGTACAATAAAAAAAAAGTAATTATTGAAAATTGTTGTGGTTTTTATATTTGAATATAATTTTATATTTTTTCAATTTTTTTTTATACGCACCGTTTACACGTGAATATGTTTTCTCGGTGTTTGTATACATTTTTTTTAAAATTTAATTAACTGTTGTTTTTACAAGAGAACACCACGACAACACGTCGCAATGATTTATAGTTTTTCTTTTCCCGCTGAAAAAAAAAACTACTGTGCGTATACATTTAAAGTGTATGTTTTTTATTTCAACTTTAAGACTTTAGGAGCCCGCTGCATAATATGTCTGTTGGAATTTACAAAGAAGCTGCCAAATCCTTGACATGATTTGCGTAGAAAAACAATTTAAAGATTTTCCATTCCCGTCTATTTTTGACTATATTAAAACAAAAATATACTTTTTTTACACGATGTATAAAATATAATATAATAACAATATATGGCACATGTGAACATAATATTATGATTTAAAAATATTGAAATTACTACACATAACTCGTCGTACCAATACATAATTATACTTAATAGTTAATTCA